GTACATTTGAAAACGAATTTTGAATATTTTCTCCATACGTATATTTCATATCAGAAAAAAATGTTTTTCGAGTTTGTAATCGTTTTAGATGTAACTATAACATGTACAAGTATAAATAAATACTCAGACAATCATATAAGTAATCATATGTATGAAAAATAAAATTTTGTAACTTGCCTGATAATTTTTCTCAATTTTAGAAGCCAAATGTAAATCTTTACCACATTTTGCTTCCTTTTGTTTTAATTTACTACGTAATTCATCTGTAGAACCAAAATGTTGTTCTATTTCGCGAATTTTAGCTTTCAAATCTTTTAATAATCTTTCAAGTTCTTTATACGATCTGTAAAAATATTAAAATTTGTTTGAAATTATGCACGTTTAAATATTTTATATTATAGGCTTCTAAGTCATAAATTTGTTTTTTTGTTATATATAGGTATTTATTTACTGTCACTTATTAACCTTTCAGTATTTATTCTATCACATCGATTTGTAGCATCAGATACTGCTCCTGTTGTACATCTTTGCTGTTGTTCACATTCTGCTGCTGCATTCTGTAAAGCTTGACGAACTGCCTGGAATTTTTTTGCAGCATGACGACTTCTTGCATGTAATGCGTCTTTTTCATTTTGTAACTCTTTTATGCTGTCCTACATAAAACGCAATACTTATTTGATATATACACAAATTTAAAAAGACGCTAACATTCAACATACCTTTAAGGGGTTAATTTTAAAATCTAGGTTTTGTCTTAACACTCTGTACTGCTTAACTTCTTCCTCTAAAGACTCGACCTTTTTTTGAAGTTCAAGAACACTTTTATTTAAGCATGATTCTTCTTCTTTTTCTAGACGTAATTTGTTTTCTAACTCATTTAATTCATTTTTCTGTATAAAATAAAATTTATTAATATTCAAGTACTAAATAAACAATTTATATTCAACATACATTTATATTTGAATAACTTACAAATACAGTTACAGATATGGTTTCATTACCCTCAATTTTATCTTTTAGATCGTTTATTAATGCTTTATATTGGTTTTGAGCAGCTTGAAGTTTTGTAACTTTTGCACTAACGGAATTTAATTCAGAACTCATACGTTTTTCTTTTTCACAAGCACTGTTATATGATTGCATAGCAGCATTCTTTTCGTTATCTATAGTACGGATTTCTTCTTCCAATGAACTGATGATGAAAAAAGTAGTTTACAAATTTCGTACAATTTAAAGAAAATACAAAAAAAAAAAAAAAAGAAAATACAAAAAATCGTACTTAATAGTATCTGTAACAGAAACTTGGAGAAATTTAGCCTTTAAGCCACGCGGTCCGCCGTAGCTTCTGTAATGTGGATCTGGATAAAATGTGTCACCTTGTTGGGTAAAAGCTCTTTTACAATTCCGTGGAACTTTGGAAGCATCAGACATAATTTCAGCAGCTTCTTTACTAGTTGGGATTAACAAAACGCATTCAACTTCACGCTGATCAATTAGACAATTAACAACAACAGCATCTGATATATCCATTGCATCCAAAAGATTATAATAATTTGGTGATCTGGTACAATGAGCACGAACATCATGGACCTGTAAAAATATGGATATTCACATTATTATTATATAATACACTACATAGAATATTACAATATAAATTTTACAAAAGAAGTTTCTTACAACATTGTAAAATTTACTGCATATTATCTGTGGAGTTCTTTCATTTAAATAGATTTCTTTCATAATTGTATTCAATATTTTGGCATCGTGACTATTATCTACACAAAACGTAGTGAAAGTACTTGCTCCTAAATAATGTTCAACAGCAGGAGCCCACGTCGAATCCTTCATTTTTATGTATGCTCCTAAATATAAATAAATATACATAATAAATTGAATGAAGTCACTGGCATTATATACATCAAATAGTTAATATTTTACCAAGTGGGCCGCGAGGTTTTTGTTGAAATTGTCCATTATTATATTCTTCTTCAATTCTTCTTAAAAGACGTGGTACATTTCGTCCAAATACAGTTAATGCATTATCAGAATATTGTTTCCTTGCACTTAGTTCTCGCTTAATTTTTTCTTAAATATAATCAAACAGTGAAGCTTCGTATTATTTACTGCTATATTTTCATATGTAATATGAGCTACATAATAATACAATACTTACGTATACGAACTTCACAACTATTGATTTCAATTTTCGAAACTTGAATTTCTTTTAAAAGACGCATTTTATCAGTTTCTAAATGCATCTGATAAGTTTGCTTAGTTCGTAATAATGCTTCAGTTTCATCCAATTTTTGTTCTAAGTCAGCTAATTGCTGTTTTATTTGATTTCTTTCACTTTGTTCTGCGTTATCACAGCTAAAAATAAAAAGATATACATATGTACAATACTAATACAAAATTGGATTGCATAAATACAAAAAAATTATATTAAACCTTTCTAATCTCTGTATTTCCTTTCGAAGAGCAATTACATCATCCTCTAATCTTTTCATTTTATTTTGAGCAGATCGCCATTCTCGTACTTTAGTGCAGTGTGCAGTTTTGTTTACATTATATTCTTCTTTTGCTTTATTATATGCCCCAGAACTATCAGTAACTTCTTGTTCTGCACACTTAATTTCTTCTTCCAATTGTCTGTTAGTAAATAATAATAGTAATATATATATTATATACAGCTACATTATATGTGTATGTGTAAAATAAGAGATAACTTTCAATATTAGCCAGTTGAAATAACACAAGGGTAGTTTACCCTTCAACAATTTCCTACAATTAGGATACTATCAATAATGCTAAAAGTTTATCTTTTTAATTATATGTATTGTATTATGATTAGAATTTTGTTTATTCTATTTCACAGACTTAT